CCCCCCCCCCCAGCCCGGCTTCCTTAAAACTTTAAAGTTAAAAGAGATTTGTAATGTTAAAGTGTTAGCTGTGGCAATGGTTGAAATCCAAATGATGGATTTGTTTCTGAGAAGCTCTACTAAAATATCAGTGGAATTTGAAACACTAGGCATGAGTGTAGGACATCTCTGAAGCAACCCGGCAAAAAGCTTTTCATCATGGGAGTATCTCCTTAAGCTGTTCTTGTTCCCAGGAGGTTACAGGAGGAATTGTTCCCCTTTGATCACAAGGATGAGTGCTAACAAACTTTTTAAATATTTGGGATGTTAAACCCTCAGCCCACCCCAAAAGTGGTAGAACTTGTTAGGGTTTGTCTCATTCACATTTTATTCCCCCAAATGCGAGGGCAAGGGATGGACTTGGAAGAGAACATGAACCTGTTCATTTGAATGCCTTTGGTTTACCAAGGTAGACAAGGTTCTTTGGGTGAATTTGATCTCTTTTATTAACACAACTTAAATAGTTGGAATGTTTTTTCTTAGCAAGCTTTCCGTTTTAAAAACCCTTTGTCAGGCTGAGGAAGCACCCGCAGTTGGTGTGTGCTCTTCCTGGGTGGAAGTTTTACTTTGGTTTACCAAGTTCCACCTTCTTTACTCCCAGCCTGCTTGCCTTCTGCATTGATCTGTGATTCTCCAGTGAACACCTCCCTGTTCTGCTCTGTCCTCAAACTTCCCCTTTATCTTCTGGCTCTTTTACTTGCCCTGCATTGCACAGGCTTTTGTCATCTTGGAGCTTTTCCTTTTGGTTGTTTCTTCTCTCATTTGTCTATAATATCAACAACTCCACTTCCTTTTCCTCTCCAACATTAGCTCCCTGTCCATGCCAGGGCCTGGATTTCCCCTTCTGGAGAAGGCAAGAGGTAGCTGAGCCCCACTTTGATGAACAAAATTTGGATTGTTATCAAAAGCCAGCAAGCACAGCCCTTTAGGGAAGAGAGCAAGGAAAATAACTATTGCATTTGTTTTATAATGATAACCCCAAAGTATTACTTGGTTTCCAAGGAGATTCCTAACTGAGAAATAGTTAAAAGGAAGGGGACCACATTCTGTTCATCGGAATTGTTAAAATGCTACTGAAAAGCCTGTTCAAACTTGCTCCTGGTGGTATTGCCTCATCCTCCTGACTGTTACTAGATTATGCACTGATGGAGAATAAAGTCCTGTTTCACATTTAACTGGCCCTTCTTTTTTCTAATCTGCTTTCTTCTTCTCCTCTCATAGGACCTGATGGAGTTTTTAAATCCAAACAGCAGTGACTGTACAATGGTCCTGTTCTACACTCCTTGGTGTCGTTTCTCCGCCAACCTGGCTCCTCATTTTAATTCTTTGCCTCGAGCATTTCCAACTCTTCGTTTTGTGGCACTGGATGCATCTCAGCATAGCAGGTAGCTTCATCTAGAGTCTGAATCAAAAGAGGATGAAAACTCTGGTTTTCTCAGGAAGTAAATACTACCTGTTGTTACCTATTTCTTTCCTTCAGTTTATCAACCCGATTTGGAACTGTGGCGGTTCCTAATATCCTTCTTTTCCAAGGAGCTAAACCTATGGCCAGATTTAATCATACGGATCGGACCCTGGAAACATTGAAGGCATTTATTTTTAATCAAACAGGTATGTAGAGCTATGAGGGTGAGGGTCAGCTGTAGCGCCAGACTGAAATTGTATTAGGGGATCCATGAAAATGTCTTAGGAAATTTCTTCTTACTGTGAGGGTGAGTTCAGGGAGGGGTAGAAACTAGGAGCCCGTCTGTCAAAAGCAGTTCTGGTCGGGGCTATTGTGGGTGGGAGTCAGCTGGAGAATTTGAGTAGAGAGTAAGCACCTTTAACCATCAAAGCCCTGATTTTATTGGGTATAAAAGTGGACACACATTAGGAGTATCCTTATTTTTGTTACCCTGCCCAGGAGGGGAGAGAGACAGATGTCTTAGGGTCCTTTCCCTGATAGGCAGGAGGTTGGGCACACATTGGTCTCAGTTCTTGTGTTGGGGGCAGTAGGAGGATGAGAACAATGGGCCTTTGGCCCTTTTCCTGTTTCATAGTAGCTAGGGTCAGGAGGGACCTGAACAGATCATCTAGCTTGACCCCCTGCCACAGGCAGGAATGAATGCTGGGTTCACAAGACCCCAGACAGGTGATCATCCAACCTCCTCTTGAATTTGCCCTAGGTAGGGGCAAGGACCACTTCCCTGGGAAGTTGGTTCCAGATTTTGGCCACTCTAACTGTAAAATATTGCCTTCTAATCTGTTGTTGGGAAGTGCCTGCCTGGGCTCTGATCTCACTGGGATAAGGCTTCTCTTTTTCTAAGACACGTTGTCCTTCTGAGTGTGGAGGATGATGCACTAGTATGACAGACCGATAGTTACTTATTAAAGGAGGGTGGAGGATCTTTGACCCTTGCTAAGGGTCCCGTGGCTATATTGACTAGAACTGTGTTAAATCCAGCAGCATATTTGGGAATCTGAATACAGTCCACCCCCAGCTAACTCATCATAAGATTTAAACTTGGCTAATACTATTGATATTAATCAGTGGATCCTTTTTTCTTGTTCTTTCAGGAATAGAAGCTAAACCTGATGTGGTGGTGACTGAGGAAGACCGAGAGGGCCCCCTACCGAGCATTCTGACAAAAGGAGTAGATTGGCTACTTTTATTTTCCTTACTATTTCTGGCTAGTTTTATTATGTATGCCACCATTCGGACTGAGAGCATTCGGTGGTTGATACCAGGACAAGAACAGGAGCATCAGGATTAAGTTCTTGAGTTCTCAGAATGAAATGAGGGCACTACTTTGTGCCTGTGGATAAAGCAAGAAATCAGTTGAAATATATTGACACTGTGAATTTGTTCATTATAATTTAATTGATTAACAAAATAGATGTTTTAGCCAATTACTGGGTGTGCAGAAGTCAGAAACGGGTGGTAATTATTGGTGCAATAAATAAACAAATGGAGGTTCAGGAGAAGAGTGTATTTGTTAAGCTTGTGTAGTTCCTTTCTTGCTACCTACAAGGAAAAATGATAAATTTAATATGTTTAAAGCTGGATGAATAATATAACATTTAAGAGTAATTATTCCTCCATTTGTTACTGTCATAGTACCTTTAGGAAGGACTGTTTGAGAGAGGTGGGGGGAGAGAGAGAGAGAGAGAGTGTGTGGGTGGGTGTGTGTGTTGGGGTGTGGGTGGGTGTGTGTGTTGGGGTGTGGGTGGGGAGGACCAGTTGGTGAAGCTTAGCAGCAGTAAACACCTTAAACTTCATTGTGCAGCCAGGGAGAGCAGGTGGTCACGTGTTATATTTGGCCCTGAAGCTAGGTATTATTTACTATTGTGGGCTTACTATTGTCTGTAAGGATCTGCCATTTTGCTCTAAGGATTATATTATATTTACCTGTATTAAATGTCCTAACTGCTTGTTTTTGTAGAAAAGAATTTACATGCGACTAAAATCATTCGTTCTGGCTGGCATGCAATTTTTGAAATATAGCTTCTCACCTAAACTTAGCAGGACTAATCATGAGATGTATTTACATTTCCACAAGCATTTGTTTTTTATCTTCGTTGGAAAGCCTCAGGTAAATAGGGGATTAGTTTATTGTTGCTATGACCTACCATATTAAATGAGGACCTAGAGTAAGATATGGTTTGTTGCATGTTCTCTACTTGTCTGCCTGAGAATAGCTATTGTGTACAGCAGACGTTTATGATAAAAGGCTGAAATGAAGCTAGGAGAGAAGATGGATAACCATAACTTGTGTTGCCTCTCGTGAAGCTTGATATTGCCAGTATGAATTTCCTTATAGTTATGGAGAGTTCAATTAATACTCCTTCTGTACGGGTTTTAAAGAGAGCTGAAATGGGATGTGTCTGAGCTAAAATAACTGAATCTATGACAGAATTGGCGGTTTTGCACAGAAGCTTCTACAGAGCCATTTTTTCCTACGTGAATGATGATACATGGTTAGTTTTCCAACTGAAGTAGATCTGTGTAGCTATATTGACTTCAGAGCAATGCTGTTTTACATCAGGTAAGGATTTAATAATAAAAGCATAAGAATTGTGATTTACCAGGTCAGACCATAGGTCTACCTTGCCTCAGTATTTAGTCTGTTTACATCTCTGGGCAGTTTCACTGGGGAGTGTCCACCTGTTGGAGGGCCAGTGGGCACGGCCCAGCGGGCTCCACTCAGTGATCCCTCTCAGTGCACTTGTTCTGAACCTCTGACCTTTACTCCTGTCTCAGTCTTGTCATTTATTTGTCCTAAGCAATCAGCAATGTGCCCTTAGTCACCCCCCTCATCAAGGTGGGCTGGAGTGGCACAAAGGACCTGTAGTGTGCAGGGGGCAGGCTTAACACGTTTTCAGTTGCCTTTGCACTATTCCTTTATAAGGGGTGGCAAACCTCCAGCCTGCAGAGCCTGCAACTTTGGTGGGGGACTCTCTGGCCCGGTGAGACCTGTGGCGTTGGAGCCCCAGCAGCACCACGGGAAGATGCTGGCATTGCTGGTACTTTGCTGCGGTGGTGGGAACAAGCTGGGGTGCAGGTGTTGGCTGCAGCCGACGGTGGGGGGGAGGGGGGGAATAAAGCCTGCGTGGGACTCTGCCCAGGAGGCGGGAGAGAGACAGTGCTCCTGAGCGAGGGAGGGTGGTTCCGCGCTGCACCCGCCCGGACAGCTGTCAGGCCGCAGCATCAGATCCGCAGCCGCGGCGCCCCTCCCACGTGGCGGCCTCTAGCGCACGCCTATTCCGGCTTCCCCGGCACCCGCGCGCATCCTATTGGCCGAGCCGCCGGGGC